TCGCGCTGAAGTCGCTGCGCAAGGACGAGGGCGCCTACGACGCGACGCGTTGGCAGGACTGGTACGGCGACAAGACCCGCGAGACCGAACTGGTCAACTCCGACGAGTTCGACGGCCTGGACTTCCAGGGCGCCTTCGAAGCGCTGGCCGAACGGTTCGAGCGCAAGGCCCAGGGCCAGCGCCGGGTGAACTACCGTCTGCGCGACTGGGGCGTGAGCCGCCAGCGCTACTGGGGTTGCCCGATTCCGGTGATCTACTGCGACAAGTGTGGCGCGGTGCCGGTGCCGGAAGACCAGCTGCCGGTGGTGCTGCCTGAAGACGTGGCGTTCGCCGGTACCGGTTCGCCGATCAAGACCGATCCGGAATGGCGCAAGACCACCTGTCCGGAATGCGGTGGCGCGGCCGAGCGTGAGACCGATACCTTCGATACCTTCATGGAGTCGAGCTGGTATTACGCCCGCTACACCTCGCCGGGTGCCCGCGATGCGGTCGACAAGCGCGGCAACTACTGGCTGCCGGTTGACCAGTACATCGGTGGCATCGAGCACGCGATCCTGCACCTGATGTATTTCCGTTTCTACCACAAGCTGCTGCGCGACGCGCGGATGGTGGACAGCAACGAGCCGGCGCGCAACCTGCTGTGCCAGGGCATGGTGATCGCCGAGACCTACTATCGCCCGAACCCGGATGGCTCGAAGGACTGGATCAACCCGGCCGATGTGGAAGTGCAGCGCGACGAGCGCGGCCGCATCACTGGCGCCACCCTGATCGCCGACGGTCAGCCGGTGGTGGTTGGCGGTACCGAGAAGATGTCCAAGTCGAAGAACAACGGCGTGGACCCGCAGGCGATGGTCGGCAAGTACGGCGCCGACACCGTGCGCCTGTTCTCGATGTTCGCGGCACCGCCGGAACAGTCGCTGGAATGGAACGAAGCCGGCGTGGACGGCATGGCCCGCTTCCTGCGCCGCCTGTGGGCACAGGTGCAGAAGCACGCTGCCGACGGTGCCGCACCGGCGCTCGACGCGGCCGCGCTGGATGCCGGCCAGAAGACCCTGCGCCGCAAGACCCACGAGACCATCGGCAAGGTCGGTGACGACTACGGCCGTCGTCACAGCTTCAACACCGCCATTGCCGCAGTGATGGAGCTGATGAACGCGCTGGCCAAGTTCGAGGACGGCAGTGAACAGGGGCGCGCCGTGCGCCAGGAAGCACTGCAGGCCATCGTGCTGCTGCTCAACCCGATCACCCCGCATGCCAGCCACGCCCTGTGGCAGGTGCTGGGCCATGGCGAAACGCTGCTGGAAGACCAGCCGTTCCCGCAGGCCGACAGCAGCGCGCTGGTACGCGATGCCCTGACCCTGGCGGTGCAGGTCAATGGCAAACTGCGTGGCACCATCGAGGTCGCCGCCGATGCCGCGCGCGAACAGGTTGAAGCGCTGGCCCTGGCCGAGCCGAACGCGGCCAAGTTCCTGGAAGGCCTGACGGTGCGCAAGATCATCATCGTCCCCGGCAAGATCGTGAACATCGTCGCTGCCTGATGTACCCGGCACCGGCCGCCATCCTGGTGGCCGGTGCGTTGTCGCCACGCCGGGCGTGCCCGGCCGATGGCCCTGCGTTCACGCGGCCTCGGGCACCCTGTCTGTTGCCGTGATCGCCCGGCTCCGCCAGACTGTCTCCATGACCCGAATCCTGCTTGCCCTCGTTCTCGTCCTCGGCCTCGCCGGCTGTGGTTTCCACCTGCGCAACAAGCTGATGCTGCCGACCGATACGGCGCCGGTGAAGGTGGTATCCACCGCGCCCTACAGCGAGCTGGTCAAGCTGTTGAACCGCAGCCTGCTGGCCTCCGGTGCACGCTTGGCCGATGAGGACAGCAAGGGCCCCAATGCCCAGCTGCAGGTGCTGTCCGAACGCTGGGGCGACCTGCCCATTGCGATCGACTCGCAGGGCCGCGCGCAGGAATACAGCCTGCGCTATGCAGTGATCTTCATCTTCCGCCGCGAAGATGGCAGCGAACTGGTGCCGCAGCAGGTGATCGAACTGTCGCGCGACTACGTGTCGCCGCCGACCGACGCCACCGGTACCACCACCGAACGCGAGATCCTGGCTGACGAACTGCGCCGCGAAATGTCGGCCTCGATCATCCGTCGCATCGACAGCGTGGTCCGCGCCGAGCTGGAAAAGGGCGGCAGCCTGTCGGCGCCGAAGCCGGTCGAGCACGATCCGGTCGAGCCCGCACCCGCCGTCCAGCACTGAGCCGGGCGCCTGATGGAACTGCGACCGGAACAGTTGGCCGGCCAGGGCGCCGACACGGCGCTGGCGCCGGTCTATCTGATCGCCGGACCGGAAACACTGCGCGTGCTGGAGGCGGCTGACGCCGTGCGGGCCCGCGCACGCGCGGCCGGCATCGACGAGCGCGAAGTGTTCGATGCCGATGGCCGTGATTTCGACTGGAACCAGCTCGACGCCAGCTTCAATGCCCCCAGCCTGTTCAGTGCCCGCCGCCTGGTGGAAGTGCGCCTGCCCAGCGGCAAGCCGGGCAAGGACGGCGGTGAGGTGATCAGCCGGTTCTGCGCCAACCCGGCGCCGGACGTGATCCTGATGATCACCGCCAACGAATGGAGCAAGGCGCACCAGGGCAAATGGGCCGAGGCGGTGAACCGCGTCGGCGTGCTGTCGGTGGCCTGGGCCATCAAGCCACATGAGCTGTCGGACTGGATCGAACGGCGCCTGCGCAGCAGGGGCCTGCGCGCCGAGCCGGCCGCCGTGCAGCGCCTGGCCGAACGCGTGGAAGGCAACCTGCTGGCGGCTGCGCAGGAGATCGACAAGCTCGTCTTGCTGGCCGACGGCCAGACCCTGGACGTGGAACGGATGGAGTCGCTGGTGGCCGATGCCGCCCGCTACGATGTGTTCCGGCTGGTGGAAGCCACGTTCTCCGGCCAGCCACAGGCCGTGCTGAGGATGCTGGCCGGTCTGCGCGGCGAAGGCGAGGCCGTGGCCGCGCTGATGCCGATCGTGATTCGCGAACTGCTGGCCGGTGCCGGCCTGGCACGGGTACAGGCACGCGGCGGTAATCTGGCTGCGGAGATGAAATCCCGCGGTATCTGGGAGTCGCGGCAGGCACCCTACAAACGTGCCCTGCAGCGGCATCCGGAAGGCAAGCGCTGGGAGCGTTTCGTGGCCGAAGCAGGGCTGGTTGACCGCATCGCCAAGGGGCGCGCCGACGGCGATGCCTGGCTCGCGCTTGAGCGCCTGCTGGTGGCGGTGGCCGAGGCACGCGCGGTACGGCTGCTCGTCCGGGCCTGATCCATGAGCCTGCGGATCTATTACGGGGGCACCTTCGACCCGGTGCATCTGGGCCATCTGGCGATCGCGCGCGCTGCGCGCGATGAGCTGCAGGTGGCAGTGCGCATGCTGCCTGCCGCCGACCCGCCGCACCGCGCGGTGCCGGGCGCGACCGCCGAACAGCGCTGCACCATGCTCGGCCTGGCCGTCGGCGATGAACCGGGCCTGCTGCTGGACCGCCGTGAGCTGGATCGGGCGGCGCGCTTTCCCGGCAGGCCGTCCTATACCGTCGATACCCTGCGCGAACTGCGTGCCGAACTTGGCCCCAGCCGTCCGTTGGCGTGGCTGGTGGGGGCCGACAGCCTGCTGGGCCTGCCCAGCTGGCATGAGTGGCAGGCGCTGTTCGGGCTGGCCCATTTCATCGTCGCCGAGCGTCCAGGCAGTCCGCTGCGGGCCAGTGTCGACGGTGCGCTGGGTCAGGCTACCGAGGGGCGCTGGGCCGACAATGAGCAGGCCCTGCTTGCCAGCCCGGCCGGCCGCATCCTGCGCCTGCACCACCCGCTGCGCGAGGAATCGGCCAGTGCCGTGCGCACCCAGATCGCCGCGGGCGGCCCCTGGCGGGCCATGCTGGCACCGGCGGTGGCCGACTATGTTTCTGGCCACGGCCTGTACCGCTCCGCCACCTCGTGAATACGGTTGCCGCGCTGTGGCCGTATAATCGCTTCTACGTTTATCGAGTCGACCCGCTTTGAGCAACCAGACCCAGCCCCAGACCATCAAGGTCGATCTGCCCAGCCCGCCGCCCTCCGTGCCGGAACTGCTGGCCAGCGTCCGTCAAGCCACCGAAGACCTGAAGGCCAAGGACCCGGTCGAGATCGATGTACGCGGCAAGTCCAGCGTCGCCGACTACATGGTGGTCGTGTCGGGCACTTCGACCCGCCATGTGAAGTCCATCGCCGACGAGGTCGTGCGCTTCGCCAAGAAGATCGACGTCATGCCGCTGGGTGTTGAAGGCGAGCGTGAAGCCGAATGGGTGCTGGTCGACCTGGGCGACGTCATCGTGCACGTGATGCTGCCGCGCGTGCGCGAGTTCTATGCGCTCGAGCGCCTGTGGACCGTTGGCGACCAGCCGCCGTCCTACGACGACGACGAAGTGGCCTGAGCCATTCGTTGATGCGGTTTTCGACGGCGCCGATGGCGCCGTCGACGTTTTGGAGGAATGTGGATGAAAGCCCGCCTGATCGCCACCGGCGAACGCGCGCCCAGCTGGGTGGCGCAGGGGTTTGCCGAGTACCAGAAGCGGCTCTCGCACTGGCTGCCCTTCGAGCTGGTGGAGATCGAGCCTGGCCTGCGTGGCAAAGGGCGCGACGCGCGTCGCGCCACCGAGGACGAAGGCAAGCGGGTGATCGCTGCGTTGCCGAAGAATGCCTATGTCGTTGCGCTGGACGTACCGGGCCGCCAGCTCAGTTCCGAGCAGCTGGCGCAGCGCCTGGAGCACTGGCGTGGACAGGGCCGGGACCTGGCGTTCCTGATCGGCGGCCCCGAAGGGCATTCGCCGGAAGTGTCTGCACTGGCCGATGAAAAGTGGTCGATCGGCCCGCTGACGCTGCCGCACATGCTGGTGCGGCTGGTGGTGGCCGAACAGTTGTATCGCGCCGCTGCGATGTTGGCCAATCACCCCTACCATCGCGCGTGAAGAGTCGTTATACTGGCGGTCTGCCCGAATAGCTCAGCCGGTTAGAGCACTTGACTGTTAATCAGGGGGTCGTTGGTTCGAGTCCAACTTCGGGCGCCACATTCAAGAGGCCTGCATCGCAAGATGCAGGCCTTTTTTGTTGTGTCGCGCCGTGCAATCGCGTGCGGCGGTGGATCCACGCCATGCGTGGATGCATTGCGAGGGATCGATCAAGCAGGCCCGGCGCTACAAGTTCAGCGCACCACGTGAGAACGCCACCAGCGTGGCGATCGCCACCACCAGGATCGCGCCGAACAGCACCCACTCCCAACGTGTGAACACCCGCTCGCCGCGCTGGTGCCGGGTCAACGCGTACAGCACCACGCCCGGCACATACAGCAGCACCGACAGCAGCAGGTTGTCCAGGCCACCGGCATACACCAGCCACAGCGCATAGGCGCTGGCCAGCAGCGCGACGATGAAGTCGCGCCAGCGGGCACCGGCCGCGCTGGCGTAAGCCTCGCCCTGCCAGGCCAGCTTCACGCCGAACGCGCTGGACAGGAAGTACGGCACCAGGCTCATGGAAGCCGCCAGCAGCACCAGGCTGGTGTAGCTGCCCGAATTGAACAGCACCAGCAGCAGGAACAACTGGATCAGACCGTTGCTCAACCACAGCGCATTGGCGGGCACGCCGCGTGCGTTCTCGCGGCCGAGAAAGGCCGGCATCGTGCCATCGCCAGCGGCGGAAAACAGTACTTCGGCGCACAGCAGCACCCACGCCAGCAGCGCGCCCAGCACCGAGATGATCGAGCCGATGATGATCACCGTCGCGCCCCATTCGCCAACGATCGTGCGCAGCACGTAGGCCATCGAGGGATTGGGCAGGCCCGCCAGCTCGGCCCGCGACAGCACACCCATCGACAGCAGGCTGACCAGCACCAGCAGCAGCCACACGCCGATGAAGCCGATCACGGTGGCGCGGCCGACATCGGCGCGTCGTGTGGCCCGGCGCGAGTAGATGCTGGCGCCTTCAATGCCGATGAACACCCACACGGTGACCAGCATCATTCCGCGCAGCTGTTGACCCATGTCCCCCAGCGCGGGAGCGCCGAAGAAGTCGGCGCGGAACACGTCCATGCGGAATGCGCCGGCCGCCAGGATCAGGAACAGCGCGATCGGCACCAGCTTGGCCACGGTGACCAGGCCATTGATGATTGCCGCGGTGCGCAGGCCGCGCAGCACCAGCAGGTGCACGGTCCACAGCAACAGCGACGATGCGGCGATGGCGGCCGGTGTATTGCCTTCGCCGAACACCGGTGCGAAGTGGCCGAGACCGCTGAAGATCAGCACGAAGAAACTGGCGTTGCCGAGTACCGACGCGACCCAGTAGCCCCAGGCGGCGGAGAAACCGATGTAGTTGCCGAAGCCTTCGCGCGCATACGCGTAGATGCCGGTGTCCAGGTCGGGGCGACGATTGGCCAGAGCCTGGAACACGAAGGCGAGCATCAGCATGCCGGCGCCGCTCACTGCCCAGCCGATCAGCGCTGCGGCCGGGCCGGCGCTGCGCGCCACGTTCTGCGGCAGCGAAAAGATGCCGGCGCCGACCATCGAGCCGACCACCAGTGCAGTCAGTGCGGCCAGGCCAAGGCGTTGGTTCGAAGAGGGCATCACGCGCGCCGCAGCTGTCAGGGTGCCCATGATGGACGCTGTCGCGTTTGGAAAAAAGCCAAGGCCCGGGCGTGAGCCCGGGCCTTGGCAGGTGACGCTGCGGTCGTATTACTTGAAGGTGTACTTGAAACCGACGGTGAAGTAGCGACCCAGCGCACCGGAGAAGTGCATCGGGTTGTAGTTCACGCCGCCGTAGGTGGTCGGGTCGAGCGGGGCGATGCGGTCGAACACGTTCGCCACCGAGGCGTTGAGTTCAAACGAATCGTTGATGCTCCAGCGACCGGACAGGTCCATCGTGGTGAACGAAGAAATCTTCTTCACCGGCTCACCATCGGCGTAGAAGGCCAGGTAATCGCCGCCACGCTTGTCGATGTTGTCCATCTTGCTGATGTAGTTGGCAACGGCGCTGACGCTCCACGGCCCCTGCTTCCAGGTGGTGCCGAAGTTGACCTTGTCCTTCGGCGTGCCGATGCAGTTGGTGACGTCGCAGTTGCCGTGGGTACCCACGTAGTCAACCGTGTCGCCGCCTTCGGTTCGCTCGAACTTCAGGATATGGCTCCACTGCAGGTCCAGCTCCAGCTGGCCCGGGCCGATGTCGAAGGTCTGGCGGATGTCGGTATCGATACCACGGACGCGCGAGGAGCTGGCATTCACGTAGGCCGTGTTGACCGCCAGGATGGTGCCGCTGTTGGCCACGCCATTGAGATCGTTGCTGTCGCGCAGGACGTTGCCGGCGAGGATCGCCGCCGAGGTGCTGCCCTGCACGATTTCATTGGTGCGCTTGATCTGCCAGGCATCGACGGTCATCGAGGTGGACGAGGTCGGCTGCAGCACGATGCCGACCGAGTAGCTCTTGGACTCTTCCGGCTTCAGCAGCTTGTTCGGCTTGGTGATGATCGCCACCGAGTTGGCGCCGCACTCTGCTGCGTTGTTGCCGCTGATCTGGCAACGAATCGGGTCGACGGCAGTGGAGAAGGCGGCGAGGCCACCGTCACCGTTCTCGGCCGGGTTCGGTGCGCGGAAACCTTCGGCGTAGCTGGCGCGCAGGGCGATCCAGTCGGCCGGGGTCCACTTCACGCCCAGCTTCGGCGTGGCCTTGCCCTCACCGCTCTCGTACTTGTCATAGCGCATCGCAGCGGACAGCTCCAACTGCTCCAGCACCGGCGCGGACAGTTCGACATAACCGGCGTAGACGTTCTGGGTGCCGTCGTAGGCCGAGTAGCCCAGGCCAATGATGTCGCCGGTGTCGGTGAAGGTCTGCGGGGTCAGGCTGTTGCTGGTCTTGCGCCACTCGGTGCCGAACGCCAGGCCCAGCGGGCCGCCCTTCAGGTCCATCAGGCTGCGCGACATGGTGAAGTCGAACATGTCCAGGCTGGACTTGGCGCGCGCGCTGATCATCGGCGAGATGAAGTCGTACAGTGCCTGCGAGTTCTCGCCGGCGTTGTCGCCAATGCGCCACACACCGCCGGCGCAGTTCGGGTTGGCCAGCGCACAACGCACGTTGTCGTAGTTGAGGAAACCGGTGCGCTTGTTGGTCAGGTCGGTGCCCGAATGCAGGTAGGCGGTGTCGTAGCTCCAGTCACCCCAGTTGCCTTTCACGCCAACCAGGAAGCGGTTGAACTCGTTGGTGTTGTCGGTGACGCGCGGGCCGACGTCCCACGCCGAGTAGCGCAGGCGCACCGGTGCACCGGTCGGGTTGTCCGGATGGGTGGCCCCGAGCGTGGTGGCGCCCGAGCCGCTGTTGGCATTGACCGGGCCGCCCGGGTAACCCCAGCCGCCGGAGACACCGGACGGGGTATTGCTGAAGATCGTCTGCTTCTTGGAGTAGCCGATCTCGGTGTAGACCTCGCCGCCTTCACCGAAGGCGAAGCTGGCGCGACCGAACACGTTGACGTACTTCTCTTCGGGAATCAGGTCGCGGTACTGCTGCGCCGGATCGAACAGGCAGCCGTCGGCGGCGATGCTGGCCGGGGTCTGGCCACCGATGGTGGTCAGGCCCGCGCAGCCGGGCAGGGGCACCAGGTGGCCGGTGGCATCCAGGTAGGAGCCGTTCGGCCCGGAACCGCCCGAGGTGCCGCCACGGGTGTACGCGCCGCCCAGGAACTGCGCGGTCTTGTCATAGCCCCACTGACGGGTGTCGCCGGTGCCGATCCACTTGCGGTTCTTGCGGTCGCTGATCTTGATGGCGTCGGTCTTGCCGACGTCCAGGCTGAAGAACGCGTTCCAGCCATCGCTGGCCAGATCGCCGGTACCGGCGGTCAGGGTGGCCTTCTTGGCGTCGCCATCGCTGTCGCCGGACAAGCCGTAGGAACCACGCAGGATCACACCCTGGAAGTCACTGCGCAGGATGATGTTGACCACGCCGGCGATGGCGTCGGAGCCATAGATCGCCGAGGCGCCGTCCTTCAGCACTTCCACGCGTTCGACAGCGTCGAGCGGAATGGTGCTGAGGTCGGTGAACACCTTCTGGCCATCATCGGCCAGGCCGTAGGTGGCCATGCGACGGCCGTTCAACAGCACCAGCGTCGAGCCGGCACCGAGGCCGCGCAGCGAAATGCCGGCGCCGCCACCGGCGAAGCCGTTGCCGAAGGTCTTGGGAATGGAGCCAGCACCGTCAGCGGTGATGGTCTGCAGATACTCGGCCAGCGAGGTCTTGCCGGTGCGATCGATTTCCTGGCGGGTCACCACCTGCACCGGTGACGGTGTCTCGGTGTTGGTGCGCGGGATGTTCGAACCGGTGACCGTGATCCGGTCAAGGTTGGTGGCCTGTTCCTGCGCGAATGCAGAGGAGGAAGCCACGGCGCCGGCGAGCAGCAGGGCACCGCCGGTGAGGATATGGGTGATGGACGTTGCCAGGTGGTTGCGGCGGCGGCTGGCGGGCCGTTGGATCGGGTGTTTCACAGCTTCTCTCCTGACTGGAAAACTCGAGCATTGAGGGCTGTCTCCGGTGTGTCCCGGGACGCGTCAATCTAGGTTTCCCGCAGGTGACGGAGGTGTGAAGTTTTACTAAATTCGTAACGGTTTTCCAACGAAGTTCAAATAATCGGGCAGATTGGCCCTGTTGCGGCCCATTCACCGTTGTGGCCGGCCCGGCGTGCTGCCGGGCCGGCCTCTGACTCAGTCGGGCAGGGAGAACTGCACGGGCACCATGCCGATGGCCGGAACGGCCACGCCATCACGCTCGGCCGGCACGAAACGCCAGTGGCGCAGCACCTGCTGCCGAGCGGCCTGGTCCAGGCTGCGCGAGCCGCTGCTGCGTTCGATGCTGACATTCACCGGCTGGCCACTGGGGTCCACTTCCACCCGCAGCAGCACCGTGCCCTGCTCGTGGTTGCGCAGCGCCTGGATCGGGTAGCTTGGCGGCGGGTTGCTGCGGTACTGCAGCTGGGCGCCGGCCAGTGGCGTGGACGGGGCGATCGTCGGCGCCGCCTGCACCGCTGTCGGCTCGG